CCCCAAAACCCCAAAACCCCAAAACCCCGAAAGTGACCATTGAGTTAAATATTCGAGAAAGAAAATAAGCACAATTAGATTCATTTTACGCTCAGTGATAATTTAAGTCTTTAAATTCTTTAAATTTTCTAAACTTAATTTCAAAATGGAACATTCACAAAATCAAACTGAATCTCATATTTTGACAGAGAACGCTGACAATCATACGTAATCTAGCAACCTCAAGAATAACAATCAAACAGAATCGCCTCTTTAAGGAAGTACTGAGGAAGGAGGAAATTCTTAAATATAAGAAAATAGGAATTCAAATCCAGAAGATGCTACTGCATCTAATCTTATGTAGCATTCATAACCCAAAAAGTAAGAGCTGGAATCAGCTTCTAAGGATGAAGCTTTGGTGGAAGAGGAAGAAGAAGAAGATGAGGATGATGTTAAAACTTTATCTTAATTATATGTTGAATGCCAAAATTAAGAGAAACTGCAAATTTAGCTCAGTAAAAATGGTAAGTATTCCTGAAGACTTATTTCACTGATGTAATTTGCTTGCCTTTAAATTTAAGAGGCAACAAATTTGTCAAATTAAATTGTTCAATTAACGGATTTAACTTACATTTATATAGAACTAACTAAGAAATGCAGATACTAAGATGGATATATCTATCAGCAAGTGTATTCTTGTCTTACATGCTACATTGAACTTATTAAGCAACAGAAAGGAGAATTCAATCATGATAAGATATTCGAGGAGGGTCTTGGAAATTAGAAAGATCTAATAGAAAATCTTAAACCTCATGGATTTTGTTTAGGATGCATGTTACATTGTCATGAGAATCATGAAGTCATTGAGTTATACTCAAAGTTAGATTTCAGATGTGACTGCGGAAATGGACGCATGCCATTTTCCTGCCAACTTAATGATAATAAAGAAGATTATGAAAATGAGAAAAATTACTATAATCATAATTTCCTCGACAGTTATTGCTACTGTAAAAAACCACATACTTTTGAAATAATGGATTAATTCATGATTCAGTGCTATGATTGTGAGGACTGGTTCCACAATCAACATCTGACTCCAGCTCTCTAGGATTAGCTCGATGATCAGTATTTCCTTCTTTGCAAGGATTGTGTTGCTAGAAATTATCTTAACGTCATTGCCTAATACCAATAATTTTGGCACGAGACCTCTCTTAATTATTTTGGATCATCAGCTTAACTTGAGCCACCTTCAAAAAGAACAAAATTAACAGATAGAATTGACTCAAAATAAGTTTCTCATTAAAAAGTCAATTGCTAAGAATAAGATGTAAATGGATCCTTGGTCTAATAAGGGTTTGATCTTATTATAGATGAAAAAATGATAAAGTATATTTGTGATTGCTAAAACTGCTCAAAGATATTTTCAAAATTGAAACGTCACATTTAAGTTATAGAAAATATGAATGAATAAGACAGAAAATTGCTTAATAACCTTGATGGAAATATCAATGAAGATGGTTTAGAAGAAGAGAAATAGCAGCCAGTCAATGAATCAACTAAGAAAGCAGAGGAAATTTCAAATTTAATGACTTCAGATGACTACATTAACCAGATGATGAAAAAAGCATTTTCTCAGTAAAGCAAGCCATTATCACATGAGGGGTAAATTCATTTCGCGGAAAATTATGCTAAATTCAAGGACTACTTCGTAGCATTTTTAAAGCAATTTGAGGAAAATCAAAGAAAAATTACCCTAGCTGATGTCAATTAGTTCAAAGAAGGGCTTAATATGTTGCAAATGCAGAGGGAAAAGCCACAGAAATACGAGTGAGTCTGATCTCAAATTAGAAAGTAAAATTTATCAGATTTCTTCTAACTGAAAATTTGAAAATGATGCACTTAATTGAGCAAGAATCATTCTTTTAATAATAAATAATTAAGCGCTAAAACTTATTCAAAGTTTTTATTTAAAAGTTCAATCTATTCACTCTTTGATTTTGAATCATGGGGTTTTGGGGTTTTGGGGTTTTGGGG